GAGTCATGCTGGGTAATCTAGTTTGCCAACATTTGTGTTCTGATTGTCACATTTATATATATATATATATATATATATATATATATATATATATGAAGTAATTATTGATATATCAAGGCTTAAATCTGTCATCTTATTGTATAATTCTGTTTTTCTTTCTATCACTTATTTCTCTTTTCTTACCTTCCAATGGATTGTTCAAACATTTTTTAAAATTTCACTGGAATTTATCTAAGCATTTTTGACTATATTACTTCAGTTTTCTCAAGGGTCCCTGTGTGTGTGTCGGTGTTATAATATATGCATAGAATATATCTCAATCTGATGGTACTGACTCTTTACCACTCAGGTCATATGTAGAAATCTTACCTCCATTTATATTTTATTTACCTTCTCCACTTAAAAAATACAATTATATCAAATATTTCCTTTGTACACATGGTACTTTATATCAGATGGTATTATAAATTTTCCACTATCCAATATAGTCTTATAAATTCATAGAAAGAAGGATGTGTCAATATACATCCTTTGTTATCTGCTCTATTGCTTTCTTTCTCTTTTGAAATTCTAGGCCTTCTATTATAAATTCTTATTTGGGAAATTTCTTTAGTCATTCTGTAAAGTCACACCTGTAGGCAATAATTTCTCTTCATTTTTCGCCATATGGATATATGTCTTTCTTTCCCATTCATCTCTTATAATATTTTAATAGGTAACAGAACTCTTAGGTGACAATTCTTTTCTTTCAGCACACAACATATATTGTGCCACTTGAGTCTAGTATCCATAGTTTCGGATGAGAAATGGGCTGAAATCCACATCACTATCCTTTTATAGGTAATGTGTCTGCTCTCTAGATGCTTCCAACAAGTTTTAGTTTCCTTGAAATTTACTTTTCTCTGTCTTTATATTTGCCATATTTTTTGGTTATGATGTTTGGGGGGGTTATTGTGTATCAGACTTTTAGATTTGCAGTTCTGTGAATTTCATAAAATTTGGGAAATTTTTAGTCATTATTTCTTTGAATAATTTTTTGCCCCACATTCTTTCTGAGTCTCCCATTATATGAATGCTGGGTGTTTTATTATCAGTATGGAGGTCTCTGAGGCTCTGTTCATGAATTTTTCTGTTGGTTCTGTCTGTTTTTAGGTTGGATAATTTCAGTGTTTCTCACATTCAGTTTGCTGTTTCTTCTATTAATTTATCACATTATTCAGCTCAATGAATGAGTATTTAAGGGCACTTTTTGGTTTTGGTTTTTGGTGTTTGTTAGTTCCATAGTTTCTATTTGGTTCTTACATATATATTCTATTTTTATGAGGTTTTAAAATTTTTGTTTCTAGAGTATTGTAATTGCTCATTAAAGCATTTTTGTTGTGACTTTAAAAAATTCTTCTTGACTAATTCCAATATCTATATCATCTTATTGCTGGTATCTCTTCTTATAGGAGTTATTATTGGTATGAGTAGTGATTTTTTATAACATTCTGTATGTTTGGTATGGATCTAGTTTAAGAGAATGAGGTAGTGTTTCAAAGTACTGTCTGGGCCCTTCTGGCGTATATTGTTCATCAGGTGGTGCTGGTACCATCTAGTACTGCTGGCAAAAGCAAAAGGCACTTCCTCGGGGTACCCAGGGCTGCTTGATAGAGGGTGTAGTAGCTCAGGTTTTCAGGGCAGATGTGAGTATCTGCTCACTAAGTAACCCTATGCTGCATGCAAGGTTGAGAGCCTCCTGCCCATGTGCAATACTTACCAGGGCCCTTCTGCCTCTGTGGGATGGAAGGCTGAAACAACCAGAGTTGGTATGCAGTCTTTTTCTTCATTTGAATTTTTTATGGAATTGAAACATCATTCTTATTTCCCTCTGGAGCTGTAACTTCATTGTAAGTCAGACAATAGAGCTATCAAATTTCTGAAAACCGTTTCCCTAAAATCTCTGTCCAGACTCCACAGTGTACTCCAGGGACACAATTCTGGTCTATCAGAGACTTTTTTCATTCTCCTAGCAAGCACCCCTTCCTAACTGGCCAAATCCAACACAGAATAGACATTTCCTTTATGGTTTCTTCCACCATCAAAGAGATGAAATGATCAGTGCAGAGGGTGAAGACCATCAGATGCTCCACTTTGTACAAAGTGAATTAGATATACCTACAAATACCAAGCCCCCAGTTCCAAAAATAACTGTCTGTGTGACAGCAAATAGTTGTGAATTATAAAAGCATTCTAGGCCTGATTGGGTATTCATACATTACTCTCATAATACTACCTTATCTCTTCTTCCAAATTTTATCTTTACCAAAATGCCTCCCATCACACTCCTGCCATCTGGTTTTAGAATATCTGCATTTTCCATGATTGCTGCCACGTCCACCTTAACCTCTAGAATACTTTGTTTGGCAGCACAGTTTACCTTTTCATTTACACCACATGTTACGCAGCTTTACTGCTGTCTATGAAAGTATATCTTGTGTTCAATATGAGGCTTCCCTTGAGTGTCCCCCATCCTCTCTATGATGGTTGTATGACTCCCCCCAAGACTGAGATGCATTCCTAATGTCCTCCCAACACTTCTAAACTGGCTACATTCAGCTCTGCGCATGTTCAACACCCAAACCTCTGCACCTATTCATTCAATCATCACCTTCTAGCACATCCTGTGTGCCAGACTCCATGCTGATGCCAAAAGGCAGCTCAAGGAGCTCCAGTCCTTTTTAGGAGAATGACACATCAAAACAATGCAGAGTGATCAGTGAAACAGTAGAGGGGAACAGAAGGAGCTTTTCACAATCCAGGGGAGCCAGTGGTGCTATGTAGGAGCAGAAGAGACTAGACTGGACTCCTGAAGGATGAGCAAGAATTAGTCACAGGAAAAGGAGAAGGAAGGGCCATGGATGCAGAAGATACCCCTAGTTACCAAGGTGTAAGCCGGTGTTGTCGGGGTCTATGTGATGTGCCACAGAGAGGCAGCACAGCATGGAAGGGCTTCATGTGCCCAGTGAGGAGTTGTTTTGTGAAGACAGTGAGCAGCCAAGGAAGACTTGGCACACTGTGTGCTAAGGTACTCAGTCTGAGTGCTATGGAAACCTGAGCATTGGGAATGCAACAGAGGACGGGGACACTTTGTACTAGACTCGATATCACCAAGTTTCACTAACTTGAGAAACTAATCAAGCAATTGACCAACAAAGCCAGTCTTCTTGGCATAGCCAAAGATATCCTGAGCCCATCGTGCATCAGGGTAATGTTTAGGAAAGGATCTGTTCTGCAGGGAGGAATATCAGCAGGGTAACCCAATTCCACAGGTGCTAGAGAAAAGTCCTGAACTTCATACATGTCTGTCAGAATAGTCACCTGAAAACATAGCTTCACCTATCGCAAAGGAAAAGTAGGGCTCATCTCCCACACCCTAAGACTTTCCCACTCGTGATCTCCTTGCCTTTCAGAGATATTCTCAGATTCACTTCAATTGGAATTTTCCCAAGGATAGCAGTTGGTGTAGGCTAGTGGGATGAGCTCAGAACTCAGAGTTAGAGATCTGGGGTCACCTGTATATGATATCTCATTAACTTCCTTGAGCCTCAATTTTGCATAGTAGGGAATTCCCACACCCCCTTGCAAGGCAGCTACGAGGGTCCAAGATGATGATGGTAAATACCAGCATGGAGTGGAGTGGATGTACAGTTATTATGAGCGGTGGGAACTGCAAGACCTTGTGCAGGCTGGGTCCCTCCCCTTGATCTCTGAAGTATAATAACAGACACAAGTCTGGAATCAGGAGCCCCTGAAAAGATTTATTACAGTTTCTTTTGTGATGCCCCAAATTGGGGAAAGTTTGTTAAAAGAGAAATATCTGCAGGAGCTACTGCTTTTGCCCGTCAGGACTATTAGACAGATGCTAAAAACAATCATTGAATGTCTTTCTTCATGGGAAACTAGAGGCATACCCATGAAAATCACTCATTTGTAAAGAGCAGTATATGTATTATATGTACTATTATATCATTTGTGTAAGATTAAAAGGAAAAATGTTTGTCCTATAGTTGGCTCTCTGTATCTGAGGACTTTATATCTGTGAATTCAATGAAGGATCAAAAATACTAACAAAAAGATTGACCTGAACATATACAGACTTTTTGTCACTATTTCCTAAACAATATTATAACAACTATTTCCACAGCATTTAGAGATGATTGAAAATTTATGGGGGGAGGTGTGTAGGTTCTATACACATACTCCATTTTTATAAGATATTTAAGCATCTCTGGAGTTTGATATCCTTGTGGGGCCTTAAAAACAATTCCCTGTCCACAGCAGAGAATAACTGGTCTGTGGGACTATGTAGCACACAGAATGAGAAGAGGAGCACACTCAAAATGCTGAGAAAGCTCACCTCGGCAATTTAGGACTTCAGGGAGTTACAGCGAGGTCATTAACCCTCATCATGCTATCTATATTGTTTAGTAGACTATATTAATCATGCTTTACTTTTATAATTTAAAATGTAAAGGAAAAGAAAGACATGAGCATGAATTCCAGATCTGCATTCTATAACCAAATTACTCAATTCTCTAAACTTTGCTGGTTGTTTATAAAATGAGAACACTCTTACCCCCACCAAGACATTGGAAATTCAAACACAAACTCAGGATTTCACTTCATAAACATTGTTGAGAACCCAGGTATGGGCCAAGGGTCATGCTGAGGCATCAATAGAAATAGCAATAGCAATAGCAAAGGAGGTCCACGTAATACTTCTCCCGCTGGCGACGTGTGGCACAATGGTTTGAGTGCTCTGTCACTTTGATGAGTGACCAGCATGGCACTTCTCACTTTGTAGCAAAAAGGAGGATGAGGGAAAGGACTGGGAACTGTGAGCTTTTGGTGTCTTTCCCATGTGACTTCTAAAGGAAACCACTGTTGACACTGATGTGGCCAGGCAGAACCTGGGTCCCTGCTTTGTGTTACCACCTTCCACTGGGCTTGTGTTTCAGATTTGAAGCCCAGGAAGAAAAATGGGATGAATGTCATCATGGTTATCATGATCATCTACTTGATTCTGCTCACAGCAGCTGCTGTGCTGCTGGAGTTCCAAGGTAAAGTAGTCTTGGTTCTGTGTGGTCCTGAACTGGACCCCTCTGATACAGGCACTCACGTTGAGTGGAAAGTACTGGAGAGTACAGATGCCCATCTGCTGAGATAGAATGCTCAGTCCCTGGGCCACCACAGTGATGGGAGAGTGAAAATTAGTCCTGCAGGGAGGGAGTGAGAATGCACAGTGGAACGTGAGTACCATGATTTCACATGAGATTCACCACAAGCATCTGTCATAAATAATTTCGAGTCACTGCATGGGAAAGAGCTTTGTCACTTGAACTGTTCATCTAAACATCATTTTACTTCCAAAATATTCTCAATCCAAATGCCAAAGTCATGAGTCATTTCCACCAACAAGTACTGATGTCACCCAAACATGTTATGCACACAATTGTCATAAACTCTTGTCAGGAACATGTGAAGATCACACCTGGATGTTTCTTGAGTATCTTTAGGTCAGACCAGCAGGCTGGTTGACACAAATTCATACCCAGTACATAGAAGGAAGTCTGACTGCATGAAGTTGGGAGATGGAGGGTAGATGTCATGGCTCAGCTTTAAGAAATGCTCCAGGGTTGTGTAATGAATGTGAAGGAAGATACATGCTCAAGTGTAGAATGAACCTGTGCTCATGCCAGGTTCTGACAGCATACGGAGCTTGTGTTTATGAATTTAGGGCCTGCAGAAGGCATATACCTGTTATGAAGGAATTTCAGGAATCAGCTCCAGTCAGGTCCCTAAAGTGATCTTGTGTGTGTGTTTGTGGGGCGGGGGTCCAGTTCAGCAACTGCAGGAGCGGCTCCAGATGCTGGAGATGTACAACTTCTCCAATGAAACGCTTGCTGCCAAGGAAACCTCACGCTCCTCCTTGCTGTGGTGGACACGCCCAATACATGCGGCTCAGAGCACATCAAAGCTGCAAGACCTACACGCCCAGCTCACAGAAGTCCAAGTCAGACAGGAGAGCCTGTGCCAACAGGTGGAGAACTTCACTCGAAATGCAGGTTTGGCCTCCTCCTCTCTGGGCTGGGACATCTCAGAGATGTTGGTTTTCATGAATCTCTTTCCTTGGCAAGAAGGGATTCCAGGATCCAGCCTGGTCTGTGACTGGGGACAAGGCAATGGGCGAGAGTCCTGTGAGATGGATATGAAATTAGGAGAGAGATGCTGCAGGACACAGACCAGAGGGAAGGCCACAGTTAGGTCCTTAGGAACAAGAGAGTCAAAAACCAGGAAACCAAAGGCCCTATCCAAAGAAAGAGTGGCCTCTCCCATGATGAGGCTGTAGCAACAAGTCCAAGGTCAGGTTTGGGTCACAAAGAGATGACCATCTAGCAAGGTAAGTACAGTGCAGAGCCTGGGTTAGTTCTAGGGACTGCTCCATAGAGATGGCTTACGATGGCCTGAAGGTGCACAGGGAGCAACTCAGGGTTCCAAACCAGCTCAGACAACCTGGGGACCTTGCTGGCATCAGGGACAAGGAGATATTACCAAGAAACATCAGGGCTTGAATGGTACAGTAGCCGATGGTCAGGAGGAAAAGGAGCCAACAGTAGAAATGCCAAGCCCCTGTCCCAGCACTCTGGGTCTTAGATAGCTGCACCCTTTCCTTCTTGGGCTGTCCTAGAACAGGAAACACTTTGCCCTCAGCAGTTTCTAGATGGCAACTCGACTGTCACACTGTAACATGGAATCCCAGCCTCAGCCTTGTTCTGCTCCAGTGTCCCCCCTGGGGCCTATGAGGGTGACCCCATGAGACACAAATCCAGGAGGACAAATCCCTCCAGAGGCTGTGGCCTCCCCAGAGAGCAAGACAAAGGCTCAGTCAGGCTGTGAGGAGAGCCTGCAGCTCTCCTGTGGGCAGGTGGCCTGCAGGTGGGGAGGAAACAACTGAGGGCTTCAAAGTAGTCCAGATGACATGGGGACCTTGTTGGTACCAGGGACAGGAGTAGGGGTGTTCTCCCTCCCTTGAAATGTGAAGGAGCTGTTTCAGCCAGCATAAGAAGGTGCTTGCTCAGCAGGTGCTTGCAGAAGCCCCTGTAGCTGGACCAGGTAAAGGCTGGCACAGGAAGGCAGCCCAGCCCTCTTCCCCACTCCTGTGGCTCTCAGGCACCTGCAGCTCCCCTGAAACAGGGGAGCTCCTTGGAACAAGAGCTCCTTGGAAAGGGCTTCCAACAGCTCTTTGGAAAGGGCTGCTTTCCAAGCCCTTTCTCCTGAACACACCCAGGAGCCTGAAGCCTGTCCTCCAAGCCGCTTTCTCTCTAATCTGGCTGAAGCCTCTGCTCCCCATATAGTGTAAGGGGGTAGATCCCGGGAAGGGAACCCCCACAGTTCAGCCTGATACCCTCTCTCCTTCCCTTGCAGAGTTGCACAGGATCAAAGGTGAACGAGGTGCCCCAGGTAGGTTCATTGTCCCCTCCCAACACCTTTGGGCTGCTTGGCCTGTATGATCTGGGAATACATCCAGTAGCCCTCATCTGATGGACTCCCTCAATTGCATCCCCTCTGCCCCTTGCCAGCATCTGGCCTCTGCCCTCTCCTTGCCTAAAACAGCTTCCCCTCTTACTCCCCCCATTCGAACCTATCTTCTCAGGCAAGTCCAAACCCATCCCCTCTGCCTGTTCCAGCTTCTAAGTCTCCTTTCCCATAAGCACTTTCCTCTGCCATGTAGGGCTTATCACCAGGGTGCTGTGCTCCTTCCCATAGGTCCTTGTCTTGTCTCCCTGCAGGGCACAATCCCATCTTTCTAGCCCTGCCCAAGATAGAACTTTTCTGGACCCTCAGCCTCCACTGGTATGGAAAGTAATGGTGACCACTGGGCTCACCTCGGGGCTGTTTTAAAACAGGGAGATGATGTGAAAAAGATGCCCGACAGTAGCCTGTGTTCTTTAGGATAAGCCTGCAGCTTATCTGCCCTCTTTCTCCTCCTCAGCTCACATATATGCTGTGCGGCACAAATGCACACACACATACCTCCCTCACAACCCTCTGCCACTCCAGCAGCTGAGTAGTTGAAATTTTACCCCGGGGATAAATATTCTTGATGTTCCTGGGACGGAGTCCTGGGTGCTGTTGACATTTTAGGCTGGCCCACCTCCCTCTGGTCAGGGAGAGCTGTGAGGCAGCCTCGGATGGAGAGGGAGGGTGAACTCGATGCTTGCAGACCTGAGCACAAGCCCTGGCTCTGCCCCTCACAAGATGGGTGACCCTGAGTAAGTCATTTAACATTTTGAGTGCTCCCCTGCAAGAAGGGGACAATGATCAGATGAGTGCAGGATAGAGCAGTTCCTACAAAAGGCCCAACCTGTGCTGGGCACAGAGTCAGTACTCTGTAGTGATGCTATGCTCGTTACTGGCTATTGCTGTTATTCTTCTAGTAGAAAGATGGAAAAGATTTTGAGCAGCCCCAATCTGATGAACACTGGCTCCTTTCCTGTAAGGAGCACTTTTCTGATGACTTCGGCCACTTTAGCTGATGGTGTCAGTGTTTCCTTCTCTCTGCCCAGTGGGGTTGATCTGATCTTGAAACTCTGCTCCATCACTCCACCACTAGGCTCAGAGCTCCAGGTCCAGATGGAGAGCCCACCCCACTCTGACCTCATTGCCTGCCTGTCTGTTTCTCTTGACACCAGGGCCTCCATGGATACCCAAATCAGGAGAAGCTCACATCCCTTGTATACAATGGTGTCATATTTGCAAATAACCTATGCACATCTTGCTGTATATCTTTAAGCATTTCAGATTACTTGTAATATCAAATATAATGTAAATGCTATGTAAATAGCTGATGTATTGTTTAGAAAATAATGACAAAGAACAAAATTTATGCAGGCATAGTATAGAGGCAAATTTTCTCCAAATATTATCAATCTGTTGTTGGTTAAATCTGAGAATGTAGAACTCAAAGATGTTGAGGGTCTACTGTACAGATTCTCTATCTCCCCACATCTCCCAGTCTCTCTGTCAGTCCATCTGTGACTTGTCTCCCTCTCCCTCTCCTTTCCCTCTCTCTCTCTCTGTCTTCTGGAGCCCAAAGAGCAGAGACAGGAAACAGCATTTCCAGGAGCTGGGCACTACTGCCTTCCCAGACTCACTCCAACCCCCAGCCATCAGTAGGTGTGGCCTGTACCCCCTCCCCCTGGCTTGCCTTGCCTTGCCTGGTCAGCACTTCCCAAAGGCTAGCTTTGTGATCAAATGCACTGGAGAAGCCTAGGAGGCGAGGGGCGGGGGTGTGGAGCACAGAAGTTCCTTGTTTCACACGGACCACAGCAGCTGCTGCCCGTTTGGCTCTCAGCCCAGGCTTCCTGGACACACTGGGGAAAATAGCACCTCAGCCAAGCTTCCGGGAGGGGATTGCAGAACTCACCTGTTCCTCTTTTCCTTCCCCTGTCCATCCTGTACTTCTTTCCTTTCTCCCAACAAGTGTTTATTGAAATCTCTGTAAGGACAAGCCACTGCCATAGGTACTGAGACAGAAAGTATACAAGACCTTGTCTTCTCTGACCTTCTCCTTGAAGAAGGAGCAAAGCATAGTGGGGCAAGGTGGTTTGAATGATGGGGCAGACCCTTGTGTGAGGAAGTTTAGAGGGGCCCTCACTCTCCAGGTCAGAAAAGGTTACTGAGAATTGCATCCCAGAGAGCCACCTGTGCGAAGATGCTGAGGCAGAGCAGGGAGCTTGGTGAGTCAGGAACACAGAAAAGGAAAGCCTGACACATGAAATTCTAGAGCCAGGGAGCAGAGGAGAGATCTGAGATGAGCATGGCCAGAGCACCCCAGATAGGGTGAGCTGGGTGAGGACCCCTAGCAGAGCACAAGGCACTTTTTCTTCATGCCCGACTGACTCTTTACACTAACTGCAGGCAGCTATTGGTGTATTCCCATTTCATAGTTGAGGAAACTGAAGCTCAGAGGTACACGGACTTCCTCAGATGATGCAAGCAGATTTGGAGGAGCTAAGTGGGACACCCAAGCCAAGCGCCAGGACCTTGGCCGAAAAGAGACAGTCTCCACTGCTGAGAGGGCAGTGGCAGTGGGGGCAAGATCCTAGGGGTTCACCCTGAGAAGCCCTAGGAGGGGCCTGAGCCCAACCTGGCAGGAAGTGGACACTTCTTTCCAGAAGTGCCAGGGGCCAGAAGCTTCTAACCTTGGTCTTCTGGAAGGAGGGTTGGTTCTTCAGGTCAGTTGTCCCCTGTGCCATGACACCTCTGAGGCGCTGATCTCTGCCTTTTGGATAAGGAGCCCAGAGAGCTCTCACTTGTGTCCCATGTCCCACTACTTCAAGTCCCCCAGAGAACCCTGGAAGGTCAGTGTATCACAGACAATAAGCCATTGCTGGGCCAAGTGCAGACCCTCAGTAGCTGGTAACTGTTAGATCCTGGATAGATTCTTTCGCCTGAGATATGCCAAAAAGGACTCCATGCTCAACAGAAGTTCTAGTCCTCGATTCTGGTTCCATCTTCTGGACCCCATGACACGCTACAGTGTTCTGGGTCTTCTGAACTGGAGTGCACTTTTGCTTCTAGTTGGAAAGCTCAGCACCAGCTCCTTCACCAAGCATCTTCCCCGGGCAAAGGCTCTGCCCTTGGGAGATTTGGAATCCCCCAACATCTCTCCTAACACATGGCCTCAGATAAGACACCAACCTTTCAGAATACCAGCCCCCTCCCTAGTGACTTGGGAATAAGCGGCCCTGTGCTGCCCACCTGGATTATTGTGAGACTCACATGAGCCCTGCCTGAAAAGCAGCCCCTGAAAATGGCAGAGAACTGTGTGAGTTTCAGAAAAAAACTATGAGTTTCAAAAAAAAAAGCTATGTTCCCCCATAGCTTGCCTTGAGAGTTTTACCTGAGAGATCTCCATGTGGTCATCTTGGGACAGCACATAGCAAGCACAGTAACCCCATTTTAGTGGCCAAGAAGCTGAGGCTCAGAAAAATGAAGTAACTTGCATAAGGCCTTCTTGATAAACGACAGTGCCAGTCCTTAAACCCAGACCTGTTTGACTCAGATTCTCTAAGAAGACATCTCTGCAAATACTTTGGTTTGTATTTGCCTTCTAGGCTATCAACACACCCCGCCAACCCTTCTTCTTCTTTTCTTCCTTCCGTGGTGGTAAGGATTAAACTTAGAGTCTCACACAACCTTGACAAACACTCTACCCCTGGGCCACATCCCCAGCCCTGGCCATGAGTGTCTTGAAGGAAGAATTTGTATCTTCATCTTCTGCTTTTCCCTCCTCACAGTTTAGCTTGCACATAATGCTCAGTGAGAGCTTGCTGGGTGAATTATTGAGTGAATAGCATTGTTCCCACCACTGTCCTCCATCTAGCTGGCTCTTTTGTGCTTCTGCTCCTCCTCCTCCTCCTGTCTTCCAGGTCCGAAGGGCGCCCAGGGACTTCCAGGCGAAAAGGGAGCCAAGGGGGCCATAGGACCGGCTGGAAGCCCAGGTATAGCCTCTGTCATCTTCCCTGTAATGGCTCTGTAACCCATCCTCTGCTTCGTGCAGGGCATGCTCAGAGTCCCCTTTTCCTTCCAGGTCTCCCTGGACTCCAAGGCCCACCAGGCAGCAAGGGAGATCCTGGTGAGTAGGAAGAAATTCACAACTGGTGTTCTCAGTATGGGGCCCTGGCTGTGGACATGGCCCCTGCTGTAGTATAAGCTCCTCAGGGTCTATGAAGCTGGTGGCTGCCCTGAGATTTGGGATGCCCTGAGAGGTAGGAGGAAGCAAACTGCACAGCAGAAGAGCAGGGCTGCAATCCTTAGGGGGCACTGACAGGTGGCGCCTGGCCTGGGAGAGCTGGAGGGCTGCAACACTACTGCCTGGTCCTCTGGGCTGGGCAGTTCAAACCAGAGAACATGGTGAAGAAAGTCAGGCTCCTCCACCCTGCTGGAACTTGAGAACTCAGCACACATGCCTCAGTGCCATTTCCTGTCACCTAAGTCTCTGTGCACTGGGGGTTCTGGGTAATGCAAATCCCATGATCTTTGCCAGGAAAGTATTAGGCCCTATTTTTTGGGCAGCAGCTTAGACCTGCTCAGGATCTTATCGATGACCCAGTCAGAGAGGCTACGGACTCAGCTGTCCTCCAGAGGACAGACCTAGACCAGAGCTGGCGACTGATACAGTCCGCTCTGCTCTTCACACCCACCCTTCAGCCCCAAATTCCCCTGGGCTGAGGCAGCAGCTCTGTAAAGATGCAAAGATGCTGTCTCGGTGAGAGCAGAGCCAGAGGATTTGTGAGGAAGGGGAAGTAAACAAGCCATGCACTCTAAGCCCGGGGCTGCCAAGGCAGAAAGGAAACAGCAGCAATCATAGAGAGGCAACTTGTTAGCCGGGAAATCTTCAAGGAGCTGACTTTTGGAAGAAATTTAATAAATGGGATCCCAAAATACCTATTGCTCTAAGTCTCTAGCAGGCATTTTTTCCCAGAGGTTTTAAGAAATAGGAAGGAAAGTTTATGGTTCAGTGAGGCGCATACACAACACCCTCACACTTCTCACACACACCCATGTGCTCACACGTATCTATACATGGTCATCTGCAACCACATATCTATACATATAATCACATTCTTACACTCTCAAATTTTCATGCATGTCTGTGTATTTGTGCATTTTTAGGCACATACTCAAATTCTCATGCTCAATCATAGTCATGCACACACTCATATACACTGTTGCACAACCCATGCACAGATGTTTTCATACTCAATCTTCGGAAGCTTGGAGGAGGGAAGACTTACTCTGAGGGCCTTTTCCTCTCTCATCTTTTGTCCTAGAAAACAAAGGACTTTTGCTAGGTTTCTGGAGCTCTCCAGATGGTATCCAGGGAAGCTGGCTTGAAAGGAAAAGCCAGAGCCCAAGGACTTAGTGATGTGCTTTGAGCAGGAATGGAGCCTGGAATTTAGCTCCTCTTCAGCAGGCTGACCATTGACTGGACAACATTTTGTTCAGCCCCAGTCCTGCATGGGACTCATATACTTAAAACAGACTGAAGAAGCAGCTTTAGCAGTACTATGGAGTGTGTGAACACAGAGTCCATCTTCCTTCATCTTGGGGCACTTCTTACTCCCCAAGGAAAAGCTAGTGAAACCTCCAACATGCCCCATGCTAGCCTAGGACCCTGGGCAATGTAGAAGGGAATCACCACCTCTCAGGTGCACTTTTGTCATGGTCTTTGGAGCACTAATGAGAACCTTGTTATGGCCAGCCCCATTTTACAGACAAGAAAATAGAGATGTGGAATACTTAAATGACATTTCTAAAGACATCCAACCTGCCAGGTAGCAGAGTTATGATTCCAGTCAACTCACTTTACTCTAAAAGTTTTTCTTCCATTGCTGTGTGGGTCTCTCTCAGGTGCTGCCCTGCCTTTGGGAGGGGCAGGGAAGAGTGCTCACCTGGGGCTTTGCCCTAGGGGTCTCTGCTCTATGTCCACCTCAGGGGGTCCAGAATGTCAGCTAACTGAAGAGCCCGGCCCATAGCAACTGAGTTCTTCCTTCCTTCTCCACAGGCCTCCAAGGACCGAAGGGCGCACCAGGGAAGCAAGGAGCTGCTGGTAACTCGGGCTTCCCCTCCTGGGGTCAGGGGTGCACTGTGTGAGGCCTAGGAGCAGCTGTCCTTGATGTCCTCTCTGCATAGCCCCAGCCCAGCCCCTGAGGGTAAACACAGCCCTCTTCTCAAGTCCTAGAGAACTCAGCAAGACCACCCAAGGCGTGAGCCAACATGTCCAACACTGGGTATGATTTCCGCTCCTCCTGGCGGTGGTGGGACTCCCTCACTGGTTCTTCTCATCACAGGTAAAACAGGACCTCAAGGGGAGAAAGGCAGCAAAGGCGATGGAGGTCTCATTGGCCCCAAAGGGGAAACTGGTGCCAAGGGAGATAAAGGGGACGTGGGCCACCCAGGTAAGGACTGTGTTGGGATGGCAGTGATCTCAGGGAGGTCAGAGGGAGTGGGGCCCCAAATTCTGTGACATTTCATTTGTTTAGTGCTATGGGCACCTCTGGACAATGAGTGTGACCTCTTCTTTCCAGGTGAACAAAGGACAAGGATGTAATGTGAGGACAGTGCCATTCTTGTGACTAGCAAAGAGCCCAGGCCATGCTAGGGGGTCAGAGAGGAAGGCCAGGGGCCCAAGGGGTGGAGTTAGGAGAAAGGCAGGCTGGCAGTAAGGGCAATGGATCTGCCTCTATGAGGAGTCCCCTCACTGATGGAGGATGACTTTAGGTTATAAGAAGCATCTCAGACCTTGACAGTCTCACATCGCAGCCAAAAACACTGCCCTAGGGCTCAGAACTTGACTGAGCACCTCCAGGCATCTCATCTGCCTCTTGGCTGCTAAACTGAGGAGGCTCTGGGTGCCATGAGAGAAGCTAGGCAGGCTTGGTTTCCATCCTGCTCTGCACCTGCTCACCTGGGTGAGTGGGCACCTTCTTCAACCCTCTGAGCTTCAGTCTCTTCACTTCAGACAAGAACTACAATTCAGTTAAAATACTAACAATCTATACATGCCTTGCAGAACAGTTATGAGGTTAGAGATTTTGTTTTCAAACTGTTGGCCACATGGTAAATGATAACCCTTATTAGTGGCAGTGATCCTTTCCTGACCAGTAGAAAGGAAAAGGACCTCAGTTCCAAAATGGGACAGACCTAGGATCTGATATTGCTCAAGAGTGACCTGGGAGGGCTGGGGATTTAGTTCAGTGGCATAAGCCCCTGCCTTGCAAGCAGGCGGTCCTGAGTTCGATCCCTGGTACCGATAAAAAGGAAAAAGACAAAAAAAAATTTTTTTTAAAAAAAGAGTGACCTTGGGCAAATGACTGAATGTCACTGAGTCTTGAGTTCCTCACTTACCAAAGGAAGACAATAACACTAACCTTTACTGAGGGTTAACTACATACAAGATGTCTGACAAAAATTTTTTACCTTATGAAAAACGAAAGGTTTTTGTCTTCAAGTATACAGCCCCTGGCAAGGACATACCAGCCACTCCTAAATATTTGGAAAGCACTCATGCGGGAGAAAACAAACTTGTTCTGGGTGGTACTAGCCAAAGAATGAGGACCAATGAATTCAAGTCGCAGGAGAACCACCTGTGCAGGCAGGGGAGCAAGAATGACTTAGAACTTGGGGTTGACCTGTGATGAACAGGCTGACTTGGGTCTTAATGCACAGTCCTTCCTAGTGGGACTGAGGGCCATTCTTGCAGCAGGCCAAAGGGTGGGCAGTAATTTCTGAGGGCCCTCTAAAGCTGGCACTGCACAGCTCTCTTTGGTAAAGGAGACTTGGCCTCTCTCAAGGTGACACCAGCATTACAGACTGAGTTTGATCTGTCCTATTTCCAATAGCGTCCACCCCCAACTGGAGCCCCGAGGTTGTGGAGGTGGCTGGCAAAGAGAAACACGGCTATTTCAGTTGTTAGAAAGCAGGGTTCCGTGTCATCTGTCCCCTCCTGAATCCCCTCTCCCAAGTTCATGACATCTTGCTTGTTCACCACCTCACCAAGCTGCTGCAGGTTCCTGGACTGTGTAAGCCCCCTGATATGGGCACCATGATGGAGATCCAGGGAATAGGCTGTTTTCCCATTCATCCTCCAGGACTGGAACATTCTGAAGTCAGAAGCATCTGTGCTTCCTGAGTTAGAGCCACAGTCTGGACCTTTTGCTGGACCTCTGGGATGCTATCCTGCTTTCCAAAGTTGTCCCTATAGTAGAGATCTGGAAATCATAGCAACACAAATGCAGGCTCAAACCACACAGAAAACACTGTGTGCAGCTTACTGACCAGTCGCTACAACTTGATAGTCCTGGTCCAGATCAAATAGGCCTTGTACCTCTTCCCAGATGGACACTCCAACAGGTCAAGAACTGTCTCCTTTGCTGTTTGCAACTTGACTATCATAAGAGACCTCAATTGTAGCCAAGTTCATTTTTACTTAATTTATTGGACAGACAAATGTGTGTATTTATAAAGTACAGCCTGAAACACTGGTTCTTACATACACTGTGTAATGATCTATTCCAGATATTTAGGCTCTCTGCCGTCTCATTTATCATTTCTTTGGGATGAGAATATTCGAAACCCTCTCTTCCAGCTATTCTGATTCATGTGAGTCATGGTAGTTCATTGCCCTACCATGTGATGGTAGGCCAGGATGCATTCCTCTCCTCTTATAGTATTTTGCATTGTGGAACCAAGCTCTTTATGCTTGCTTTGTTTCTTAGAAGGGAATGGTCATTCTTCAAGGCCAGCTCCCAAACTTTCCACTGACTTCACTCCAACCTCAGGCTCAGAGAGGTTGCCTCTCACCTCTTTGAAGCCTTGTATCCCAGTTTTTAATTAGCAGGCGAAAGAATGGCATTCTGCCTGAGTCACCAGTACTATCTTATCAAAATATTAGTATAAGACCAAGAATACCTTTTAACAAAATTCTATCCCAATGTATCTACTCAAGAACCTTAAAGGTTGCTTTGGGGTGAGACAGTTCTCTTTAGACTTGGGCTCCATTTTGCCCCCAGGGGTGTGGAGTTGGAGATATTCACCTCCAGCCAACATGGGGTATCAGCAACTTCCTGAATACCAGCTGCCAAGTGGGCTGCTGCTGAGTGAGCCCTGTGTGGTGTGACCTGCAGCCCACTGCCTACCAAAGGACACTTGGACATAGCGAAGAAGAGTCCCGGCCCTGTGAGAAGCTGCTTTCAATTGATATGCATCAGGCACCAGCAGGAAAGGAGGAGGGAGTGATGGAGGACTCAGGAGAGGACAGGCTGGACAAGTCCTGAATGTTGATGACAAGTGGAAAATTTGAAATTCTCAGAACTAGGGAAACCCATATCTGAATTGATGGCAGGAACAGGAATTGCTATAAATCTGTCTCTCTATCATTAACACCAAAATTTCCATTCTCAGAATTGGGGACCTACTTCTAGAATATTTAGATTTCAGTGTGAAAGTCTTTAAAAATAATTCCCGGAGCACCTACACTAAAACCAGCCAAAAAAGTGCCAGTGAAGCTTGGACTCTGGTTCTTCTGACTGGGTCCTGGGATCCAAGTTGTGGGGCCATCTGACAACTATCATCTGGGCCAGGTCACCTTATTAATTTCTCCTGAGTCCCTGTCCTGTCTCTGGGGAGTCCTTGGGAGATGTGATCACCAATTCCACTTCTGGGCTTCAAGCAGAAGCTCAAAGAGTTCTGTGTTTAGAATGTAGGTGGGACAGGCAGTGTTGGAGTTGGAGTCCCTAACTGGGTTTGTCTCCCTCCCATGATTGACTTCAACACCTTTTTTTTTTTCAGGGAGCAAAGGGAACATGGGCATGAAAGGAGACACAGGAGTCATGGGACCCTCTGGGCCCCAGGGGAGCAAAGGTGACTCAGGGATTCCAGGTCTACCAGGTAAGACACAAGAGGCCAGAGCCATGGAGGAACTACTATTTCTCCTTTACTCTGGGAGGCTGAGTCAAAGGGGAAAACTTCCTAAAAACACTCCTTCATTTTAGGCGTGGCTGGATCTCCTGGAGCCAAAGGCGATCAAGGTAGGAAATGGGGAGCACTGGGCTTCACTGTAGCCATCAAAATCCCTGAGCAGAATCAAGTTAGAGACTTGATTCCATCATCTTTTCTTTTATTGTAGAATTCACCAGGGTGAGTAAAAACCTAGCCCCTCGTATGAGGCAGGCTTCTTAAAAGCCTGGGCTCTCCTAAGTAGCCAACAAAGGACAGACTGATTAATAGCCCTCTTTGTGAACCTTCTCACTCTGGACATTCTCACCCAGAGGTATGGAGCTGGACATCTACATTCAGAAATCCCAATTATCTACAATTCCCAGCTCTGCAGCTGCAAATGGAAGACAGTTGCTGATGCTAATTATTCTCCCACTAATAGGACTAGCTCATGGCTTCTACAGAGACAGGTTACAGATGCTGAGGGATTAGAAGGTGTTAAAAAGCATATGTCTCACAGCTGCGACAAGAGGTGTGAGGGTGGGGTCAGCCGGGCCTTCTGCCAATAACCATCAGCCTCATAATCACAGTTTAACTTCCAGGACAAGCTGGAGTGCCAGGTGCTCCAGGACCTCCTGGACCAGCGGGACCTTTGGGGGCCAAGGGTGAACGTGGCAGCCCTGGCTCGGCTGGGTTACCAGGTGAGATCTTGCTCCCTATGATGGTCCTGGGGAGTGGCATTTGGACCCTGCCCAGCCCTGATGCCCTCCATGACATCTGCCTTCCCAGGAACACCAGGAAGACCTGGGAGTCAAGGACCTGAGGGCATGAAAGGAAGCAAGGGCGACACAGGTAACAGTGTGTGAGTAGGTGTGTATGTGAGATGCCAGTTGTTACAACTGACAAGGAGGTGGAAGCCTCCCAGCAACCCATGGAAGAAGGCGGAGGCCTCCTGCATTCTGGTCCCCAAGGTTCCCTAATGAAAGAAGGCAGTTACCCCTGATCCTTTGAGCCCAAAGGATGGGGCTGTTCTGTCTCAGTCTGGGGTTCCTAGAGGCCCTTGAATGCCAGTACCAAACTTCCAGCATCATGGAAGAGAGCAGAACACCTTTCCCTGGCCTGCCACCCAGTTGTGTGCATAGTTTTCATTCTGCTTCTGATTTTTGCTTTGAGAGGGATGTGGTCCTCACTCTGGATTCAGCAAGAGGATTTAGGAACATCTTCTTGCACATTTTTCTAAGGGATGAGCAAAGAAAACATTAATGGAACTTACAAGTCTAGTGTAAAACCATCATGCCTATTTCATCTTTATACTGCACCTCAGAATAATCTAGGTTATAAAAACCAGCCAGTTTAATCTAGGCTATATGCTGTCCTACCAATGTGCTGTTTTGCCAACCACTCTGCTAACATTGCCCACTCTCTAGGTCCAAGTGTTTCCACTGTAACCGTTCAGTCTAGACAATCTGGGCCACTGTGGGGTGCCAGCTCCTGCCCATTCCCCCACACAACATGGAGAAGTACAGGAGACCAAGTTCAGGTGCATTTGCTTGGGTGCTGGTGTGGTGAACTGCCATTCAGGTGCAGGCAGGAGAGCTGTGGGTTTGTGGGATGCAGGATGGTGAGAAAGGGTTCATTTTGGTCTAGCATGTGTGGCCAAACCTTGGCCTCCTCTGTGGGAGTGGAAGGTCACGACCTGTCAGACAAAGTAGACTCCCTCATCCTCTGGTCATGCTTCAGGTTCACACCAAGATTGGTCCTTTGCAATTCTAGTTGGTCAAGTAATGGATTGAAGGGTTGACTATTCTTTCATTCTTCACTATCTCTTGGTGATCCTTGAGTTCTGGATTGTGAGCTTTGGAGTTTTCCTAAGCATTGTCAGGAGCCATGATGAGGACAGCTCCCTGCTCTATCCTCTACTCCATCAGGCTCAAAGTTTTCTTCCCATGTGTCCCTGTCCCACTACCTGATCCCATGAGAGACCTTTCCAAGGCCACTGTAGGACAGGCTCTGAGTGTGAAAGTCAGATGTCTCTTCCAATCTTATGCCTCATATTCTCTGGCCTCCTCTCTAGGGTTCTGACTTGCATCTGAAACCCCTAGCCCCTAAGTTTTCTGTGTGGCTTCCTGGAAATGATGTAATTCCTCCCTAAATTATAAATAATGACTGCATTCTGCCCCCACCCTCATTGCCAGATGCATGGTTCTTTATTAAAGAGTGTTAGGTATAAACCGTGATTTTAGATACAGGGGCACTGCCCACTCCCCAGTCCCCAAATCTGAACCTTCTGCTGCCTGAGGGTATCGAACATTGCCCCTTACCCTGCCCCCTGGGAGGGCTGGTGTAGCAAGAGAAGCACCTGCTATGGAGCATTTTGGTGACAATCTGGGGGATAAGCACTCGAGTTAGTTGGTGTTTGAAAAGTTTTCTGAGATGAAAGAGTAGTTACGACATGCAGCTAAGGTTGGAATCTAGGCCATGCTGACTCAAAAGCTTAGAGCTTATCCACTACACTCTGTCTTGGGATCTCCCTCTACAGCCTCTCTTTTGGGTGACACCTTCTTTCTCCATCCCAGATCAAAAAGGATCAGACAGAGACAATGGTGGCTTTTCTCACTCTTAAGAAGAAACGTGAAGTGCTCAGGTCCTGTAATTTTTCTGAGTTACTCATCCAAGGTTGCATACCAGTTTTAGCATAGACATCATAGGCCATATCTGCCAAGCAGCGTTATGGGATTTTACACCAAGCAGCCTAAGTGATAAGAATCAACCAGTAATGTTCTAGGGTTTATCCTTTCATTCTTGCTCCCAAGTAAACTTGGTGAATTACATTTTAATTTAGGGTATATGATAATTAACATTTATGTAAAATGAGATAGGTTTCCCACCCAAGTCCAGATGCTTTCCTTATTAAGTAGCTGGTAATTTCCACCAGGGGAATTATGTTTCCCCACCAGAGCCATAATTGGGATAGTATATGGTGCTGGAGTATGGCCTCATGAATTTCTGGAAAGATTAGATTTGCTGAGTTCTAAAGTAAGAAAAGGCAGGGCAGGGGTGTGTGGGAGCCAGACTTTCCCCTTATGGAAGACAGTGTACTTGTCCGTGCCAACATGTTGGTATTCCCCAAACTAAAGCTGCTATGGTGGCTGTCCATGATTTATCAGCCAGATTGTCAAGCTAATGTACTACCCATTTTGTAAAGAAAACAATTAATCTCTCAAGAACAAATATAGTAATTTTGGATGAAAACAGAAATTACAGTTTATTGGCTTGACCCTGGTGACAGCTAGATTTCATTAGAGCATTAATTTTAAATAACAGGAGATCCATTTGTTATCAGCTTTTTCTCTGGGCTGGGCACTGTGCTCAGGGACTTTACCCCCATGATCTTAGTTCATCTATCCACACAATTGAGCTTTACACATTCTACTTTGCAGCTGAGGAAATAAAGGCTCAGAAAGGGTAAATCACTTGCTCACGGGCTTGTGGGTCTGGAAGTTAATACCAAAGTCAGAGTCTAAACTTCTGTGTTTGCAGATTTTATATAGAATGACATAAAGTTGTTATATTTTGTTGTATAGAATGATGCAGAGTTGTTCTAATTAGTTGTATGGAACAGTATAGAGGAGAACCAAGAGAAATCAGAGTCACCCAGTCCATGTCCTGAATCTCCATGATGAACAGGTAAATTCTGCTTTGGTCATGGAATATTCCTCATTTGGTGATTGTCACTAGCCCTGCTCCCTTGGATCCAGGTGGAATATGTTTGTGCTTCTTGAGGCAAAGAGAAAGGAAATTCCGTTTTTTCTTTTGGGAAGATTATCTCCACGTCTTATTAAGTAAGACAGTATACCTACCAGAACTTTCTCCAGTATGAATTTCATTCACCTGTCAGAAACTGATTTTTATCAACCCCTAATTTCAGTATTTTTAGCCTTTTCTTTTTCAAAAGATTGCAAAAGAATAACCAAATTTTTGTTCTACATCCTTTAGCAATGTTGAAAAATAAAGTTAGAAAGTAAGGAAGTACTCTACTTCCGCTTGAAATTGTGGCATTTATCCGTTGACCATTTTCACTGCATGAAGTGATATTAGAAGCAACAAAACATTTAAGCTCCAAAATACCAACTTAATCGGAAATCTTTCACCTCAGTGGCCCAAACATAGCAATCAGAATTTTCCTATGCACTTTTATTATATTTTTGTGGCACAATCTAAATGCATATAACTTGAAATTTTTATTCTCATCTGCATTTTGAGATGTTTGAAGATGAGTAACAAAGATAGCATATCTTTGCTATCTTTGCTAGCATATCTTTGCACTTTGGTCCTACAACATGAATATACTTTCTTAGTTAATTCCACTCCTCATACCTAAGTAGTTATGTAATTCAAGAGTTAAACCCTACCAAATTACTTAATGGTCACTTATAAAACTCTTTCTAATTTTCCATTAAGTTTCTTAGAATAGAAGTCTACACATAACGCAATTCTAGGTCCCCCACTAGCCTTATATTACTTCTTGACACAAGAGACACAGCTTGATTTTTTAGTTATTAAATTATCCTAGAATTTACTAGGTTGTACCTAGCCTGTAAACTGTGATATTTAGGGAAGTTTCTCAGTGTATTGAAAATGTCTACCTTTAACTCAAAAATCAGGAAATCTAATCTTCAATTTGGACTTGCTCCTGGTCAGATGGCTAGCTGTGGGCCAGAACTTGACCACAGTGGGCCTCGGTTTCCTCCTAGTGGTGTGTGAGTAGTGTGGCAGCACATTCAGATCTCTATCAGCTTGACAACACTCTGGCCACTTATCCTCAGCACAACCTATGATCTTAATCAGAGCACTACACAAGAGGAAGAGTTGTGTTATTCAACTATTTTCTTGGGTGAAAAAATCATTTCTCTAAAAGTACCTTGAAAATAAACATTTGGACCCTCTTAGCTTGCTGAGATTGTGAAAATCATTTGCTTGCCATTCAGGAATAGCCAGCACCCATTTCTCTCTCATAGTTTCAGGATGTGCAGTTTTCTAAATCCTGTTTTCCAGCCACTTTTCCCTCCCAACATGTATGTATTAGCTGATCTGGTCAGGGTGCTACTTCAATGGATAGCGGTGATGACTGTTCCTGGATCCTTAGTAAGCAGTCACTCAGCCAGGACCACCTTAGAAACCATGGAGTTTAGAAAAAAATCACACAAAATATGATTCTAATTTTCTCTCTTTGAAGGGGGAGTTTTGAGAACAAAACTGGCAGCCATTTAATGTATCTGGGAAGGCAATGGGCCAAGGGCCAGTGCCTGCAGGCGAATGTGGCTCAGGGTATCTCCAGCATGGGTGAGGTGGGGATCCTGTGAGGGCAGAGTTGCTGCTCAGAAGAGGTGGGCTGTGAGCCAGTCCCTGAAAGAGTGAGATTTGCTCAGGGCACTGTGGGTGGTCTCTGCACCACCAGCAGCTTATGAGAAATGCAGATTCTCACATCCATCCCCACCCTTGTCCCACTGGGCCAACAACTCTGAGTGGATCTAGTGAGTTGTCTTTTAAAAAAGTCTCATTTTGATCACAAACTGCTTTGACTTCAGCTCTCTTAAGGGAAAGCGATGGCTCAAGAGAGACCAGAGGTGGCCTTAGAACCAAATAGCCCGAGGAAAGCTTTAGGAAGGGGAGAGCCTGGCGTGTGGTGGACCAAAGGCAGCCACAAGGTGCAGGGAGAGAATGAGCCTGGGTAGCAGCCCAGCTTCACCAGTCACATTTGTGTGACCCCAATAAATCACTTAGAATCTGAGTGTTAACTTCTTCCTCTGTCAGGGAGGTAAATAACATTGCCTTGCAGGGTAGCTGAGAAACAGAAGGAAGGCCGTGTGCAAAGTTCCTGGCGTGGTGCAGCCACAGCACATGCTGAGCTCTGGAGGGAGGGCTGGGAAGAGAGTGTGAGGAACATGGTAGGGAAGGTCAGGCATGGGGCCATGGGCCTCATGAACTGGGGCTTCCCTGCTATTCCTGTCTTCTGGATGCTGTCAGTATGAAACTGTGTCTTAGTTACTTTATCGTTGCTGGGACAAAATACCTGACACCCCCACATTAAAGGAGGAAAGGTTTATTTTGGTTCAGTCTGTAGAGGTTTCAGTCCATATTCAGCTGGCTCCGAGGCAGGGTGGCGTGCTAGAGTGAAATGCTAGAAGAGAAATAGTCCATGGCAGAGCAGGCAGTGGCTGCCTTCTTTCAGTCCCTTTATATTTCACTTAGGCTACAAGCCTGTGGGTTGGTGCTACCCACACCCAGAGTGGAATTTCCTATTAACCACACTCAGAACTTTATTAAACCAATCAGCAGCATAATTTAGTGTTCATACATCTTAAATCCACACTCATACGTCTTAGATCCAGCTACTTCCAAAAAGCGCCATCTATGAGTCCCTGAGGGTATGTGGCTTTAGGGGGAGATCTAGATAAAAGCCATAATGCAGAGTTTTAGAGGACAGCCAGAGAGGTGTATGTCTGTCAACGGGGATAGTAAGGGAATGCCTCAGTGTCCCAGGGCCCATGAATCTTGCTTATAGGGATGGGTTCTTGAGGTAGAGATTCCTATAACATGGTACCCTGCTAGCAGTGGGACAGAATGTTAAGGATCACATGTGGACTGTTTTCCCATTTAATAACCACAAGAAACATATTTCTGGACATGAGCTTTCCCCCTCTGGTTGACATTTGCTTTTCAGATGCAGGTAGGTAAATCACAGATATCTACCCCTTCTGTTGGGTGGTCACTGCTAAGTCCTTTCAGGTCAATAACAGTCACTTCCTGGTACTCAGAAAGGGCTCACCCCTTGCAATCAAGACATTTCTCACCTATAGGGGAGACATACTCACATGTCCTCTTGGCCCCATTTTTCTACAGCACTGGATGGACACAGTGCCCAGCCCTTGACATCTGCTATTTCATTTAGTCTCATGACGGCCTCATTAGGCAATGCGCAGATTCAGACAGGGAGGCTGAGGCCCCAAGCAGGGACATCTGCACCAAAGTCACAAGGGTAGGATAAGGCAGAGGCAGTCTCAAGTGCTGAGTGGGAAACCACTTTGCTGTAATGCTGTAGAGAAAGCACATCACTGATGAAGAGAGACCAGGGAAGGACACAAAATCGTTCACATTTGACAACTTTGAAAGGTTTTCAGGCTAAATCAGAGTTCTCTGCATAAACCCAAGGGCTGAGGCATTTAAATCTGAGGGATCAGAATGCACCAATGCTGGGCTGTGCTGGGGCCAGGGCCTGGACTTGAAGGCTTCTTCCACTCTTGGAAGAGATCTCCTAATGTCAGCTCTTTCCCCAGCCCCAGGGCAGGGTAGTTGTCTTCCCTGCACTGCTGGCTTCTCTTGGCTTTCTGATCATCTCCTCAGGCAGCACCAAGCATGGTGACATCATCTGGAATTCTCAAGGGCCCTGGTAGACCCTTCACATTGTTGTTCTCTGACCAGAACACTACAGGTACTCAGAAAAGTTAGGCAATGAAGTAGATGATAGGGGCCAGAAGGGAGGATCTTCCCAGACCACTACAGTGAGCACAATGGAGCTCTCTATGGATTCCAGGATTCATTAGCAGAGTATATCTGTGATGGGCTAAACTTGTGTCCCAGGCAGGAATCTCAGCAAGGGTGTGGCCATGTACAGGTGCTCCCAACTGCCTGATGCACCTACCCCTTGTTCCCTTCTAGAAACTGCTACTTAAGAGTCATTAATGAACTTGCATTTTCCCAAGTCTGTGTAATTTTCTTGAGGAATCCTATTGTTCCGAAATGGAAACAATGTTGACCTTTATAAATGAGAGACTATGATATTGCTAAATACACAAATTAGGATTGCACAGTAGCCTGGCAGAGTGTGGGGCAAGGAGTCTCCCATGACAGTTAACTGAATAAAAGGATGAATGGGTGTCAAGAAAGAGGTAAGGAGGAAAATGAAGGAGGCACAAAAAGAGGGGGAATCTTTCACTGTGACATAAATAGAATCCTCACCAATGATTACAGTCATTATTTTTCCATCTTCTGAACCTGAGAGCCTTTAGCCACAGACTATTCGCCAACTGAGTCACAAAGAATAAAGGAATAAATATTTATGGAGCATCTGGTATGGGTGTGGGTCCTCCAGAGCTCCTAGCAGCCAGAAAGTCCACACAAAGTCTTTTGGAAATCAAGATACTTTATTTCTAAAGGACTTCTCAAATTTTTTCAATAAGTATTTCTTGACAAAATGCAATGGTAAGAAATAGGTTTTAGACACCAAAACAGTTACTGGTGAACAAGGAAAGCCAGTCAGTGAGGCTGGGGTCTGTCCACTCTGGGCTCTCACCAGCAGGTTAGTACTTCACTCTAACACACCATCTGCATTTGTCTGCAGCCTCTCACCTTTTATGCTTTGCTGGAAGGGCTTTAAACAGTCGTGGAGAACCAATGTATCTTTCCATCTGCATTAATCAGACAAAAGGTAGAGGTTGTCTAAGATTAAAATTGTCTAATATCTAAGTTTTATTATCTTCTCTCCTTTTCGTTGTTTTGATTTTAGGAATTCAAGGACAGAAGGGAACAAAAGGAGAATCAGGAGTTCCAGGTAAAGAGCTGTCTTGATTTTAATTTCCCAGAATGATGACTAGAGAGGTTTGTGCTGCTGGAGGTTGAGTCTTGTTGACTTTGAACACAGAGCTGTGACCTTCCCCCCAAAGCTGGGGCTGAGATTCTAGGGCTCTGTCATCCAAGCCTCTGTCCCTCCCTGAAGAACACCTGAAGACTCAAGGGTTTTAGGATGCAGGGCAAGAATGGCAAAGGATAAAACACATTGAGAGAGCTGATGGTGCGGGCGGTGGCTTCAGGCTACGTAGCCAGCATAGAGGTGGCAGCCTCCATCTCTCATCCAGGGTTGGGAGTCTCTCCATCTCAGTTTTGGTCTGTTTTTCCCTTCTTTTGGATGCTCATGACCCTTCTGTCCTCCTTCTGCTGGTTGTCACTAGGATAGTTTTATTGTCTATAAAGTCCTTGCTTGTAGTTACTGAGTTCAGCACCTACTACTCAGCATTTCTGGTCTTCTCAACAGCATTCTCCTAGTGAGGGCTGAATTAGGTTATTTTTACTTAATATAATTAAATACCTGAAGCAGACGGTTATAAAGGGAAAGAAGCTTATTGTACTCACAGTCCTAGAAGTTTGAGGACATAATGGTAGCTTCTGCTCGGCCTCATAGAAGCCCTCATTGCAAATGGTGTCATCATGGTAGAATCATGTACAGGAGGATGAGATCCCAAGGAGCCAAAGAAGCTGGGCACCATGATCTCTTCTAAAGGAAGTGCCCCCCAGTTGGCCTAAGGACTTCCTCTCCTCAAGAGTTCCATGTCCTCTTACTATCACCGCAGCAAGGACAGGAACCCTTGAGGGGACACACTCTACCATGTCCAAACCACAGCACATTCTGAAATGAAACTTCTCAGATGAATTTCTGGAGCAATTTTTCTTCCCCATGAACTGCATATTCTATTACTGTTTCATTCACTAATGGAGACACAGAGGCCTAAAAACATTCTAGCAAATTCCTGAATGGCTCAAACACTCCCACAATTATGTATTGAGCTGAGGACCAACAATCTCTGGAACTCTCTCATCATTTCCATTTATATGTCCTCAACAGTGTCAGTATGGAAGTCAGGGGGCACAACAGCCCCAGTTGGGCTGAATTTGTACATAGCCCATGCTTGGGGAAGCCGGGAGTTAGAGGTTACTCATTCTTTAAGCAGCAGGGCCCTTGGGACCCCCATGGGAAGGCAGAGAAGGATGTCTATGGGAATGAGTGGCTTCTCTCTCCTTTCAGGATCTGTGGGAGCAAAGGGAGAAAAGGGATCCCCTGGGCCAGTAGGCCTCAAAGGAGCACCTGGAGCAGTTGGCCAGAAAGGAGACACAGGAGCGAAAGGTAAGGCTCTGCTTCAAGGGAGTTTGCACAACACAGGCAGATACAGGTCTGTTTGTTCAGTTGACAAGTTACATGGCTGGGATGGCTCTGAGCACCAAGCACACAGTGGTGAGCCGGGCACAGCCCAGCCCTCCAAGAGGCCAGCCTGTGGGCAGGCATATGAGCCTCACACATTCTTGTCCCTGGCCAGCACCCATGACTGACTGATGTTTCCATGAAGGAGATGCCCCTGTCCCACTTCATGTCTCTTATTGACACCATGTACTAGTCTAGTTTCCATCCTTCCTGGTGGAGTTTGGACCCATTTCCTCTCACTGAGTCACTGATGCCCACGGCACATCCAGTCACTCAGATACTGGGTCACAGACAAAGATGGAAAAGAGTGACGACTGACCTCACCATCCCTCCATCTTCCTGCCCACTGCTAGCAGAAGAAGATGGGGAACACTTTAAACTGTGTGGATTTTCTCCTCACAACAGGATCTCACGGGCAGAAAGGAGAAAAAGGAGAAAGAGGTGAAAAAGGTAACTGATATTTCTCTTCTTTCTATGATATTTCTTCTTTTGGGGTCAATTCACTATTCGAAAATTACATGTGTTGGTGGGGGGGAGAGCTTTGCTCTCAAAGATATTCTTCACTTTGGGAAAAGGCTGACAGTTCCCTCTCTTGAAAAAGCCTGTGCATGGTGGATAAGCACAAGGTAGCAGCATACCTCTCTCCTCTCTCTTTCTCTTTTCCTTTCTTCCTTCACCCCTCTTTCCTTTCTGCTTCCTGCTTCCCCATGTCTCCATCTCTTCCTCCCTTCCATCTTCTTCGCTCTTTCTTGCTGTCTACAATGAGTGACTAAATGTGGTCTGGAGGACTGGCGAGGCCAGGCACAGGAGCATCTGCTCAGACAGCCTCATGCCACAGGCCCAAGCATATGCAGACAGGGAGCCAGGCTGTGTTGGTGCCAAAAAGTAGGGTTCCTTCCTCCAGGCTCTGGTGACAGCCAAGCAGGCAGATGCTGTAGATCCTCCACAGATAAACAGGGAGAGCCAGCATTAACGACACACCTTCCCCACCTGCCTTTTTCCACACAGGCTCACATGCCTCATCTGTCAGGATTGTGGGCAGCAGTAGTAGAGGCCGGGCTGAAGTTTACCATGGAGACGTCTGGGGAACAATTTGCGATGACGGCTGGGATAACAATGATGCCACTGTCTTCTGCCGAATGCTGGGTTACAGCAACGGAAAAGCTATTGGCTCTTACGGAGGTGGTAAGTACATGGCACCCTGGACACCCACCCAGAAGGTACTGGAGTGGTGTTTTGACACCTGTGCTTGTCAGTGACACAGTGTAGCTTGGATTATAACAACTGAAAAGTTCTGCAGCTTGGGGCTTTGGGCTTCACCTCCTTCTAGCTTGGCTGCCCCAGCAGAGAGAGGTCGTCTTGTCCCCAGAAGTAACAGTGAAGGCTTCTGTGGGGCTGTGTCTGGCCTGGCCTGGCCTGGGCAATGTCTGTCCAGTCTTGGAGACTTCACCTGGGTATTTTCTCTTTACAGAAGACAGGGATGGAGGGAAGGTAACTCATTGTAACCCACAGTTCTGAATGTGATCATCTTTGAAGAATACATGGGAGGGCTGGGGTTGTGGCTCAGTGACAGAGCCTTGCTAGCGTGCAGGAGACCCTGTGTTCTGTATTTAACACAGTCAAAAGAGGGTGGGGCTGGAAGACACCCTACAACAAACTGGAGCCAGAAAAACCAAGCTGAGCAAGATGACTTGGGATGCTAGCAATCAGCTCAGTTTATAACTTTTTTTTTTCTCCAACCATAGTTCAGCATTGCAGCAAAGAACTTAACTCCTTACCTCAGCCCTTCTGTTGGTCATAAAACCTGACCTCCCGACACCCAGGGACACTAGGCCATTTTCCACTGTAGCCACCCCCAAATGCCCTCTTGTCTTACCCCATATCAAAGTACAAATTTGTTTTTTAATCTGGATCCTGTTGGACTATAAGACTTTACACATTTTCTTCATATACTGGAGCGTGTATAAAGTCACATTGTAGTGCAAATGACTAACCAAATAACCTAACTTTTTTCAGTTACATCAGAAGGAAAGGGGTTTGACAAAGATGCAAGTGCCTTAGAAAGCATTTAAGAAAAGGATGCAGCAGTAAATTAGCAGGGAAGAGATAGGAGGCTGGAGTCCCTCTAGGCAGGGAGTTTATAGTGTGTACATTAAGCATTAAAGTAGCTTTTATTTAGGGTGACAGCACAGTCCTCCTCAGACACCAGAGGAGTGCTGAGCGTTGTCAGTCAGTCCCAGATGAAAGCGGGTTAGCTTTGTCAGTAACCCAAAGCCTTCTCTCTCTCCTGCTTCCTCCATCTCAAGGCACTGGGAAGATCTGGCTGGATGATGTTGCCTGCCAGGGATCAGAGTCTTCCCTGTGGAGCTGCAACAAGAGTGCTTGGGGAACTCACAACTGTGGCCACAGTGAGGATGCTGGTGTGGAGTGCAGCTGATCTTGAACCCTGGAAGTCATCACTCTGTCCCCAAGGTGGCCTTGGGCTCACACACGTGGGAAGGAAAGGACACTGTGAGGGTTCCCTGGAACTGGCCAAGCAGGCTCTGGAGAAGCTCATTAATAAAAATCACAATGCTGCCAGGCAGCATCACTGGCAGTGGCTGAATGTCACTGAGCTGGCGACTCACCTGTGTCTGCTCCCACCATATCCATGTCCCCACTCAGTCGTGTGCCAGTTCCCTGAATTGTCCCATACCTGTACGCAGGGAAAGCCTCAGTCTACAGGCCAGGATGACACTGAGGGCAGAGGGCACAATGGGGAAGAGTGAAGGTCACCTGTGTTTACAGTTAGCTTTGAGCTTCCCTTCCATCTTTTGGCATCTCTCAGAGTGAGCTGCCCCCAGCTGGGCAGCAAGTGAAGGAGTTGGTTTGCAGGTGGCACCAGGTTTCAGGATAATTGAACTGTACCTTTCAGCCTGGAGGTTAGTGCTCAGTGTGATGTGAACCCCATAATTGCTAGGACTTTGGTCAGCTTTATCCACCTCCAGGAGTGTCTCAGGAATGTTTACTGAATAAATGACAGACTTAGATCAAATAAATAAGATAATCAGTCTGTCTGAATGGCATAGATCCTCTTTGCTATGTCCATATCTTCCCTGAGTGGGATCCTATGATCCCCCCATCCCCAAGCAATCTGGGAAAGTTTGTTGGAAGGAATTCCATGGTGTCCTCATTCCCTTTAGACTGTGAGGGAGTTCAACATCAGCCTAAGAAAAACTGCCTCAGGTAGACTGCAAATGGCAGAGCTAAGGTTAGGATCCAGGAAGGGCTGAGGGATGGAGTGACCGATATTTCTGATCATCACCCCACACCCCAGGCAAAAGGTAAGAATGTGCCCTGAGGAATCAACTTAGGGGTCTAGGCATCCAGCCACCCAGAAGCCAAATGTACTTTCAGAAGTTGAAGCTACAGGACCCCAGCACTAGTGCCAGGTTGCAAGGAGCAGGAGAGCTTTGGACTGGGGTCGGAGGGGGCTGGAAAGCCAGCTATTTTAGTGAGACCAAAGCCTGTACAGTCATGCTCTTTTTCTGGCACATGGATGGAGACTTGATGGGTCAGAGAGGAAGGAAGTCATTGCAAGCCATATTGAGGATTGCTGGATTCATCACATATTTGCAAATATGTACTTCATGCATCTTATCAGCACCCACTCTCCCTTAAACCTGTTGTCTGTTCTAAGAAGGTTTTTCCCAAAGGAAGGAAAGGGCAGGCACTGCCTGAAACAGTGTCAGCTATACCACCTCATGGCCAGAGCTGACTTCCTGAGCCTCTTGGGAAGAGAGTCAGGAAAATAGAGTCGGATACAGAAAAGGGTTTCTAAGGTTTTTCCTTTATCTTATCAAACACCAAGCCCAAGCTTGGCTTAATTGCCCCTGGCTCTTTGACTAAGGGAAGTCCTGACCAAGCAAACAGGAAGAGCCTGTGGGGAGGGTGGAGGGGAAGGAAGTGGGGAGAAAGAAGGGAGGAAGCAGCGGGATGGGGAAGGGTCTTTCAGGCCCAGATACCCCATTCTCATTTCCTTCTCCAAAAATGATAGGTAGCACCCAGGACTGGTTCCTGCTGGGAAACAAACCCCTTCTCCTATCCCCAACCCTCCTGAATTTCCCACTATGGCACCCTCTAGAGGTCATTCCTTAGTGAGAGGGCCATGCCACACACTGAGCTCTGCCACGCGGGGACTGAGTGCTTCTAAGTTCCTCCTTTGTTACCCCTTGTGTGTATGTTTGTGTGGTACTGGGCATTGAACACAGGACCATCAAACTGCTCTATGTCCCCCTCTATGCCCTTTTTATTTTTTATTTTGAGGCAGGGTCTTGCCAAGTAGCCCAGATTTGGCTTGAACTTGAGATTCTCTTGCTTTGGCTTCCTAGAGTTCTGGGATTACAGGGGTGCACTCACATGACTGGCCTTATAAAATCTCAACTTCATGTTAGGCACCATGCTGAGGGGGTTAATAGAGGCATGATTTCACCACAGGGAGATTTTAGGATAGTGAAAAAACCTAATTTACTAAATAATTACTAGTAAACATGACAAATGCTGGAGAAAAGATCCAAATGGTGCATTGAGAAGTGCAAGGGATTTGGTCACAAGAATCAGGGAGGAAAGGCAGGCATTAAGTAGATGAAATGAGGAAACAAAGGTTCTGGCAGAAAATTGGCATGGTTAAAGGTCCTGTGGCAGGAGGAAGAGGATAGGTTTTAAGGGACTATTTTAGGGTTTTTTTTGGTACTGGGGATTGAGCTCACGACCTTGAGTTTGCCAGGCAGGCACTTAATGCCGCTGAGCTAAACCTCTGGCCCAGTTTTAAAGGACTAAACAAAAGCTACAAGGGCTGAAGCCAAAAATTCAAGCACAGTAGGGAACCAGGCATGTTTTCCGAGTAAACTAAGACTACATGTTGAAGATCTGCTGCAACATTTACAAATTATTTGTTTGTTTGTTTTAATCCCAAGAGCAGAAAAACCACTGCCATATTTATAATAGGAAAAAAGGATAACATGTTAAGTAAAGGTCATGAGTGCAATTCCTCAAGAACACTTTCATTACTTGTTCGTCTGCAAGGTCTCAAAGTCTGCCTCTCTCTGACTCTCTCTGTGTCACACACACACACACACACACACACACACACACACACGCACACCACCCTTCACTGCACAGGAATTGTTTACAAAATTCCTGCAGAAAAGACGCTGCCTGCCCTGCCATGGCAGCCTGACTCCCAGATGTAGCTGCAGCCTGGCCACACATTGTGCTTCCTTTTCATGGCTTTCGACTCTATCTTTGAGCTGCTGACCATCCTGGCCATCCTTGGAGTGCAGGCTCCCTCCTGAGCCTTCTTGTATGTATCCAACTCCCTGCCAACTGCCCCCAGCCGGGTTCCTCCAAGCTTGCCCTACTGTCTGCCCCTCCTGTTCCCCATCCCTGTAAATGGCTCCCTCCATTCAGTGCTCAAGACAGAAGGTGAGTGTCAGACATCATGCTTCCCCCTCCTTTACCTTCCATCCCACCCAGCACCAGTCCCACCAATTCTGCCTCTCCCTTATCTCTCCAGCCCATCCAGTTCTTTCCACCTCTGCTGCACTGATGGCCCAGGGCAACACCAACAGGCTAGATGCTTGGAGCCTCTCCTAACTAGCCTCCCTCCTCCGTGCTCCATCAACTGCCCACCTGCCAGTTCACTCTGCACTCGGCCTTAAAGATAACTGTGCCCCCCGCAAATTTTCCCCTGACTCCCCATTCCCTTAGGCAGTGGGCCAAGCTCACGAGGAAGTACTCCTGCCAGCCCATTTCAGGGCATCTCCCAGCCAGCGGAAATGTGGCATTTTCTGTTACACCCAGCCTGTTGATTGTGCCACTTTTCTTATGCAATGTCACACACAATAGGCTCTTGAGAAATATTTTCGGATGGGCTCCTTGAATAAGTGAATGACTGAGTAGGCAAAGGAAGGCATGAATAAGCACAGAGCACAGCACTGTCCTGGATTGCTTCAGAAACTTCATCAGCCAGGAGGAGACTTTGTATTATGGAATTAACTCTCCCCAAGCACAGATTTCCAGATTGAAGGGATGGCTTTCTCCAGAGGCAAATTTAACCCTCTGCCTTTTATATTTTATAAATTCAGTTTCCACAGCACTATGATGGAGCACAAATTTTATGAAGTGTGTAATAAATTTTAAAATTTTCTATTTCCCTGTTGCCCTAACATCCCACAACAGGCTGTGAGTTCGCCACCCAGGTGATCCATCCAGCACAGGCTGATAATGTTGGCCAGAGAAAGCGACAGAATTCTAAGAAGAGTCTCAAGCCTTGATTCCCAGGGCAGAACAAGGCTCGGGTACCACCACTAAAGCCACAGTCCATCAGCCAGCCCACTGCTAACCACAGTGGCATCAGTGATGGGTCAAGAACAGCCCTCATCAGAGCTCACTCACCAACCAAGCCAGAAACTCTTAAGAAACCACTCATGGTTGTCATTTAAGGCCATAGGTTACACAGCAATAATCAGCTGATACAATTAACTTGACTGAGGACACACCACTAGCAAGGGGCAGTGCTGGAATCCAAACCCAGGAAAAAGAAAGGTGGCTGCAGATCATCTCTGCAGGGCAGTGCTTCCGAGGAACCCTCAGGCTATGTGACAGGGAGAAATTTCTTTCCCAAATAGGCAGGGGCCCCTTGCTGCTCAGCATCAGCCTTTGGTTCTGCACTGACTGTGGTGCTAAAGAGGAGCTGAGCGCAATCAGCACTGTGACATCCAGAACACCCAGCAGGGTCTGACCTCCACATGGCGTTGCAAGAGGTGAAGTGCTTGGCAGTCCCCTTGAGTCTCTCCTATTTCTGTTCCTTGGGACACTAATCTAACTGAGGCCTGCAGGACAGATGGCAGATCCGACAGACTGGCTGGGCCTGCAAAGCAGGGATCAGAGGCCTTAAAGTCCCCATTGTGTGCAGCTCTCCTGCCATCTGCAGCCATTCCCCAGGCCCTGCTATGAAGGTATGGCTGACAACGAACATTCTGGAACCTGACCATTTGGGTAGGAAACAGTGCTGCACACAACAGCTCTGTCACCTGGACAGTGAAGTCACTGGATCTCTCTGAGCCGTGGTTTCCTCATCTGTGAGATACTGCAACAATTCCTCCCTCACTCTGTGCTTGAAAGGATTTAATTGAAATGATAAATGAATAACACAGTTTAAAATGGTGCCCAGTATGTAGCAAGCACTGGAGCTTCTTTAACATTGTCCTTCGAGACTACACCATCTACCCCTAGCCCCAATGTTGCCCCTCTCAGCCTCTGTACCCAATAAACAAGTCCTCTCATCCCTAACCAGCTGTGCCAGGCGAAAAGGTACAAGCCCTAGGAGCAGGTCCCCTGAAGCCATCAGAGATCAGGAGCATGGGGAGAGGGACATTGAGGCAATAGATTGAAAGGTGAAAGCTAAAAGGTGGTGGGAAGGGACAGGCTTGAGCAGGGGAGCCTCCGACTGCAGTGGGACAAGCCAGCGTCTCAGCCAGCAGCACAGGAAAACCTGAGAAACTGCTTCTCACAGGACTCTCTGGAGGGCAGGAGGAGCCAGGCCCCCTATCTTGTCCACTCAGGCCCTG